CACTCATTTGAGAATTGCCTAACTTGGGATAGGAGCTGATAGTACAGCAATCTGTGTCATGATCCAAGAAGCCCACAGGTGAGAGGGGGAATTCAACACCTGTATTAATAACTCTGGATTGACTTTTGTTCTGGTTGTGGGAATAACCACAGGGGAGTGCAGGGAAAGGCAAACTTCTGCTACGTCTGGCCTTCTGGAGTGAAGGCAGCCAGGCTTGGCTGCGTTCTTGGGGATGCTGGAGAGGGGACAGGGGATGCTGGAGAGGGGACAGACAGGCAGGAGAGCCACTGTTGGTCGAATTCCCCTACAGATGTCCTGGGAATCACACAGACTCCCTGACATACAACTCTGTGAGGTGGGCATTGTCGGGATCACCACGTTACAGATGAAAACCCAGGGGATTCACAAGGTTGGATGAATTGCCTCAGGCAACCCACGAGGTAAAAGGCAGTCCCTTATTCCTCTCTGCTGCCTTGCCACCTGCCACACTAATTTTTCCCTTCCCTGTCCTGAAAGGCAGGGGCCATGTTAAGTCTGTTTGTGACAAAGCATAAAGGGAAAGACATTTTTGATTAACAATATTTGTGGGAAGATGCCATTTTTGTGTATTTCTCTGTGCAAGAAATGCCATTTGGAAAGCCAGTGTGTGTGTCAGTATTTTTTTTTCTTTCTTTCTGAGAAAAAGCCTATAGAGTCTGGTGAGGGGAGGGTTTGCAGCTGGCAGGAGCTTTGGCATATGTTGTAACTAAAAAGAGAGGGAATGTGTTCGTGGGACAGGCTACCGGGGAGCCGTCTCGGTGTGCTGCGGTACTAGTCAGTGTTTTAATTGGGTAGGGTTTTTGGAGGACTATTTTGACATCTGCTCGTGTCTTTGCTGATTTTTCTTCACTTGGAGTAGGAAACACAAGCTGTGGATAAAATGACTTTAAAATAATTGGAAGTAAAGCTATCTTTTTCAAAGTCGAATTTGAGAGGGACACTTTAAGAAGTGGAAAGTAAATTCCACTTCCAGGAATCCAGCCTAAAGCGCAAGGCTTTGTGCCTACATATTTCATGACAATATTTTATATAATAATTTCTTAACAACTGGATATAATAGCCAACAAAAGGGACTTGGACAATGGGTTTGTTTCCATGAGGTTAAACATTTTATAACAATTAGTAATGATCTTTACAAAGGTTTTGATGAAGTGGAGCAGTGCTTATATGTTAATAAATACGAGAGTCAGAAAGAAACATTAAGAATTTTTCAACTGTTTTTTTAAAGTAGGGATTGGGGCAGAGGACTGCGGAAGGGAGCACACCAAAATACTATCTCCAAATGGACAAATGAGGGTTTATTCTTCGTTGAACTTTTGTGTCTTTCCCATTTTTTTACAGTAGACATATGACATTTTTATGACACAAAAGGCAAGAGAAAGCAGGTCCTGAGTGTGTTAGTATAACTGCATGTCCTGCCTCTGTAGGTACTTGTCCTAAAGTCTGAGCATTGGTCTGGGGACATCTTCAGAGGTAGGCTTTCAAATCAGACTGGGTTCAAAACTCAGCTCGGCCACTAACTAGCTGTGTAATTTGGGCAGTTTATGTGACCTCTGTGAGCCTCATTTACTTGCCATGACTGTGGAGATGACAGTATCTCCCTCCTGACACGGACAGGATTAAAGGACTGGCACCCAGTGGGTGTCCAGCTGCCTTTTCTACCAGCAGCCCTCTCTCCCACCCCCAGCTTGAGGTTTAGTGTGTTTTTTGTTTTTGCCTTTTTCATTCCCCTTGTTTCCGTGAGGCTTTCAGGGATGAGGCACTGTGCAGCCAAGCTGGCCTCCAGTTCTTTCCTTGGGAACACTGAACTTTAGAAAGGCCCTGGGGTCCATGCCAGCAGCCCCTTTGGAAGAGGCCTTGCCACCGAGAGGGCAGCATTGTCCTACAAAAGGAAACTATGCTGACCCAGCTCCTGCCTGGAGCCTGGTGCTTGGGCATTTTGGTGACTAAGGGGACCCTGGCCTACTCAGCCAGAAAAAAGGGCCAGGTTTTTGCCTCTTCTTCAGCCCTCCGCCATTGTTGAAAAAGTAAACACTCCACACAGCTTAATCGGCAAGCCCTCCAGGCAGGAGTGGGAAGAAATCAAAAGCCTGTTCCAGCCTCACTATGGAGAGCCCACAGGGCTGGTCTGTGCTGCTGGGGCCCCGCTGGGAACACAGAAACGACGTCAGTCTGGTCCACAGCCAACATGCCACTCGCTGGGCCTTTCAGCCCCTGTGGCCTCTCTCCAATGACTGGGCCCCTGCCCCCTTGCTTTGAAATGTTTGGAGCTTTTTGAAAGGTCAGAAGAGGCAAAAAACATATATGAATGATTCTGGGGTGCCACAGCCCTCACCTCCATCCTTGGGCCACTCCAGCTGAGCTGTGGCTCAGCCCTCCTTGCCCCTTCTCTGATTGTTTCTGGTGCTGGTATCTTTGATGTGAAAACCCAGCCATTGACTTTTTCCCTTGGGACATTGTCTCCACATCTATCTGACTAGTGGAGGCTGATGCATGTATCGTAATAGTAATAGCTATTATTTAGAAGTCCTACTGTGTGTGTGCCCAGCAGCCCCCAGGAGAAAGAGGGGTAGGGAGGGCAGTCACAGTTATCCTCTTGGTTTCCCAGAGGCAGTAACCACATAACCTGAGGAAGCTACTTCAGCTCTCTGAGCCTCAGTTTCTCACCTCTGAAATGCGAATGGTTTTACTTCATCTGGAGCTACATTGCTGAAAATGACTTTGTGAAAGTGCTGCATGAGCTCCGAAGTGTGATATTTGTGAAAAAGGTGGTCATTGAGGCTGTTTTGTAACTTCCCACTAGCGTGCTGCTAGGTGTTTAGCCCGTCAGTTTGCAATGGGAAGCAGCTAAGGAGTCTTAATGCTCTCATCTGTAAAAGGGACTGTGTTGGATGAAACACTGGTGATGTGTAATATTATCAGCACTGCTTGCTCATAGCGTTTCACCCTGTAAGTAAGGTGGTCGGTTAATATGTGTTGGAGTGCGGAGGGAGAGTACACTTCGAAATAGGCAATCTTGTCCCTCTGTGGGTTTCAGCCCAGAGTAAGTACTTAGGAAAACTGTATGAACTGACTGGTAGATCTGTGGCCTGGCCTCCACCTCCCCCCACCCCCACCCCCTGCCTGGGGAAGTCGGTAGCAGAAGTTTGAGGCTCCTGGTCTTGTTAAGTGGAAGGGTTCCAGGATTCTGCCCTCTTGCAGTGTTATTTCACCCCTAGGGAGTTTCTGACCAGCATGGCTCCACCCTCCTGCTGGGAGGAGTCTGGAAATGTTTACTCGGGTACTAAGTTCTGTCCTAGAGGCTGGGGTTCAAGACAAAAAATGTAGACCAATATTAATGAGCTCTTACCAAGTACCAAATCATTTTGCCAGGTGCTGGTTATTATGCAGTGGTGAGGCAAGCAGTGCGCCCTGAAGGAGCCCACACCCCAGCAGGCCCAGGGTTCCGGGACTCACTGACAAGGGCTATGCGGGTGAGGAGGGCTGCTGTGTTACCTCTGCCCCTAAGCTCCCCTCTCTGCACCTCATTTTTCTCATGTTACATAAAGTGAGGGTAATAACATGCACTTTTCAGGGTTTGTTAAGAATTAAGTGAGATAAGGTAAGTAGAGCATAAAGCAAGCACCAGCAGTTCCTGATGTGCATTTCCAGGGTCTTCACAAATTTAGGCTTTAACAGCTATCGGGATGTCCAATTCCATTGCTAGCCAACACCGTGCTCTTGGGTGAATTAGGAAAAGGGTCTCCTCCCTCCTACTACCATCAACTTCCGACCGATGTCACTTGGCAAACAAATGGGTTGGCAGATTTCAGCCTCAACTTGGTTGGCCAGGTATCCTTGGGCAATGCACACTTACACAGTCACCTGTAGTAGCTCAGAGAATAGCTAATAATGAAAATGATTCCTTCCTTACACATACCCTATGTCCCATTTTATGCCTTTGCCCAGGCATAAAATGTTCTTTTTAACATCCAAAAGTGTCTCAACTTAAACAACAAATTATAGGGTCTTTCTGTTTAACCAGGGCAAAGGAAATAAAGACAATAGTTTCAAAGTTCCAGACTCAAAAAAAAAATGAGCTTAGTTATGTGATGGACTAAGAGAATTGGAACAGATTAGGAGTGATGAGTAGGCAGGAAAAAAATGGAAATGGATTCCAGCAGTGGGTAAACGGTATGAATAGAAATGAAAAACTCAGGCTACACACAGTCTTGTATTCTTCTAGACCACGAAGAGTTGCTCCCAGATGGTGGGCTCTTCTTTTTCCCATATTGCACCTTTATGCCTGCCTTCCTCTTTTAGCCAAACATGAGTACCTGGTAGACATGAATCTCCCTTTCCCTGTACCAGTAGAGCCATGGTTTATGGCCACAGCCTCGGAGCTGTGATTCACTAGCCGGGTTCCTATGAAAAATGGAACCAAATTGAAAATGTGACCTTCCTCCTTAATGTTTAAGGGAAATGTTAACACTAGGCCATTCACTATATTCCATACTCAACAACAACAAGGGTTGAAAAGAGGGATGGGCTTATAGCCTTCGGTAACTGAGAGGGGCTAGACTGGATGCGGGTGACACAGGAGCTTAGCTGTGTATCAGAGTAACTGGAGCCAGAGATTTGGATCTCGGCCTCCATTTTAAAAGTGGCAAATACAGGGGAAAAATAACATTGGATATAAAGATCTCTCTTCCTAGCTGCGTGACCTGGGGCATGTTAACTTAGTCCTCATGAAACCCTTTTCATTCCTGGGGCTTGCAGGTGACCATACAAGCTCACGGGGTTATTGCAACAGGCAGTGTCCTTACAAATGTGAACCACCTGGCACTGGGGCCTGCCCCAGAGGAAGCCATTGTCAAATGTCTGTTTTTCCTTGTTCCCCTCCCCTGGAGAAGGCTGGGGGAAGATCTGTGTCCTCATGGTGCTTCAATGATTTTTTGTGTTGGAATTTTTTTTATTTGCAGAAAGTCAGAAACATGGCCCTGGATGATGTTGTAATCCTTAACGTGGACACCAACACCCTGGAGACCCCCTTTGATGACCTCCAGAGCCTCCCGAATGACGTGGTGGGTAACGAGTGGCCCCAATGGCAACATAACCTCTATAGGGACAGGGAAGTGGGTGGGCAGTTGTGGTTTTTCTGTGGCCCGAGGGTCGCACTTTGTTTCTCGGTTCTCTCTGGAATCTTTGTCTTGGTAAAGGAAGTTGGGAGATGGTTCATTTTCACAGTCATGTTTTGCTCTCATAACTTTTCATCTGAAAGACCGTGAAGTGATTCCAGGGCCTAGACAGCTCCCCTTCCTGTGAGACCCTGGGGGTCTTGCCATCCCTCTCTAGCACATTGCCATGTTCCCTGCGGTGGCGGGGGGACTTTCAGTGTGAGCAGTTTGGGGCACTTCAGTCCTCCATTTTTTTCCTGGGACATCATCAAACACGGCCGTCAGCAGGTTTCTGCTGACACTGCTCTGAGTGTGGCTTCATGTGCCCTAAATTTTAATTCATGGCCTCAGGTCTAGACAGAATGTGGGCTCCATTTAGCAAAATGTCCTGCCTACCACATTTGCCAGGGTAACATCTGACCTCACACCTGTCTCATGTTGCCACTCAGAGCTGCCTCGTGGATAACTATTTGGAGTAGACCCAGCATCTTCATTGTCCTTAGGAATGAGGAGGGTTGGGGTTCAGTAGGAAGCACAGTTTTGACATTCCTGGTCTGACCTCTCTAACTGCCTGCAAGAAGATCTAGTTATTCTGACTTCCAGACTGAGAGGAGCACAGTGCCGAAACAGGGCTGGGTGTGTGTCACCAGGTTTGTGTCCTGGCCATAGGCATAGCTACTCCATTACCACAAGAAGTCCTGCTGGCACCGTGAGGTCAGCTCTGTGGAAGAGATTAGTGTTGATGAATGACTTGCAACAAGCTTTCTGTTCTTAACTTGCTGTGAAATGTTGAGGGAGGCATTTATGCTCTGTAAAGATGTAAAGATTGTAGCATAACTAGGCAATGGCTGCCATTCTCTGGCTCCCTGCATGCTAAGACTGTACTAAGTGCTCATCATGGACCTCTCATCTCCTCTTCACACCACTCTAAGAAAGGTCTTTTTCTTATTTCCACTTTACCCACAGAGCTAGACAGAGTGGGAGCCAAGGAGTGAACCCTACCCTGTCACTCCACAGAGCCACCGGCCCCTGCCTCTCTGGGTGCCTCCTGTATTGAGGGCCACAGTCGGTTAGCATCTTAGCCTCTGTGGAGTAGGTGTCCTTTCCTTTCCACAGAGAAGAAAGGGCCTCAGCGAGCACGTACCTAACCACAGACCACACGGCTGGCCAGGGCACCCAGAGCTTGGAACCCCAGGACCCCAACTGGACAACACCAGAGCCGGGGCTGCCTCCATCAGAAATAGGAGAAATAAAAGTACCAGACACTGTGAGGTTTGTTCTTCATGTCAGAGCAGGGTATGTGGTTTGTCTCTTAGGGCCTCCCAACCATAATTTGAGTTCTTTTGGTCTAAGGAATGCTTCCCTGATTCCTTCTCAGTGGTAAAGCTCTCCTTTTAAGCCATGGGTGTCTTAGGTATGGACCTTGCCACTGCTGTGTGAATGTGGAAAGTGCACCTGAAGTACAATAGATCAGGTGCAAAGAATGGCCAGGGGCCTGGGGCAGCCCAGGGTGAGTATGAGCCCAGGCTGACTGGTCCCCTCTGTAGTGCTCTGACCCCATGCTAGACACAGAGCTTGAAAAATGAAACAGACCTAGTCATCTCCCTGTAAGAGCATATTCCAGTACAGGAAGCAGATGTGTAACTTACACATCTATCACAGTATGCCAGAGTAGGGGCCAGAAAAGTAGGGATTGGGCCTGGACGGGCCCAGAGGTGACAGAATTTGAGGAAGGGTAATGGAAGCTTCCTGAAGATGGCACATTCCAAAATGCCTTTTAAATGATCAGTGAAGTGGCCTCAAAGAACCAAAGTTGCTTGGGCATATAATTTTCCTTCTCTAAGCCTCAGTTTCCCCATCTTGAAAAGACGAGTGCCAGGCCTATTATTAGGATTGCAGTGACAAATAAATGGACAATAGTGTTCATCAGATGTCTGGCACAGCGCTCACACGTTGTAAGTGTTCAATAAATAATACCTGCATTTGTTTTTAATGGAATTGTTGCTAATAATTATAGCCAGGGTTAGAGAACAGTTGGTTCCCTAACAGTCCTCAGCCTGGGCATAGAGCACCTCCTCATTTGCAGGTTGATTCGTGGTGAGGTTGAGAATGTTCTGTAGCAGTGGTTTCCAGCATGGGTCCCTAGACTCATAAGAGACTCCAAAGGGAGAAATGGGGAGGGAATGTAGTCTATAAGGTATTTAATGTGTTTTGGTGGAATTCATAGTTTTAATTCTCTAAGGCTCTGTGAGCTGTGAGTCCTCGAGAGGAGAAATAATATTCTGCCATCGTTGTGTCCCCTTCAGGGCCAGGGACTTTTAGTCCATCAGCACACCTACAGATTGACCTCACAGAAGATTGACCTCACAATCTTTTCTTTTGCCAGGGCTACTTAGTGACTGCATCTGACAGATTCTGCATTTTAGACATTTCTCAGAGCCTCTTTTCCATCTCTCCTAAGTGCCACCTGGTCCAAGCTCTTCTTTCTTTCCTGCACTGTTACCAGAAGCCTCTGAACTGCTTCTTGCGATTCTAGCCCTTCTTCCTCGTGCACCAATTACCTTTTAAAAACATAAATTTAACTATGTTTTCCTAATTTAGTTGTATTTAGTTATAGCTATATTTGACTAAATTTAACGATATTTAAAGCCATTTCATCAATGAACATAACTTTTTAAAAATTTCTGAAGACAAAGAGCCTTCCATAACTTCCCAGTGCCTCCAGATTAAAGACAATTTCTTTTCATTGGCTTTGGAATCAGAGCCCTGTATTTACAAGGTTTGTCCAGAAAGTATCCATCCGTGTACTATGAAAAAGAGACATTTATTGAAGAAGACACAAGATACAAGAAACATTGTATATAGGACAGTGACACCTTGCCCCTCAAAACAGGCACTTTGAAACTTCACACAGTTCTCACAATATCATCAGCTGCCCCATCTTATTTTTCTGAATCTCATCAACAGTCTGAAATCTCTTTTTCAAAGGTAATTTCAGTTTTGGGAAAAGCTAGAAGTTGCAGAGTGCCAGATCTGGACTGTAGGGGGACTGAGTCACCTGGGTGATTTGATGTTTCTCAAAAAAACTTCGCACGAGACATGATGCATGAATGGGCACATTGTTGTGATGAAGCTGCCAATAACCAGTTGCCCACAGCTCTAGCCTTCTGAATCATCTGAATAGTTTCTGTAGAGGAATGTTCAAGCCTAACACAAGATTTGATACAGATTTCCTTGCTCTAAACTCAGTCATTTTGAATGTAATGGTCACACAGTACACATGCTCATTCAATGGCATCTACCACCCCCACTGACTAGTACAGTGAAGTCATCATTGTTCACACATGTGCATCCCGGTCCACTCTCCTTGGCTGCCAGGTTACATCAATGTTGTGCAGACCATTCTTGATACATATATATATTCTAGCTCTGTCCATTGAGAGGGGCTAAAAGTAATGAGCATACCTAGCACCTGGATCTTGGTTTTTAAGTATCAATAAAAGGAATTGGTTATTGATAAAAATAAAAGGAATGTTTTAATTTCCTTAAAACATTGTTGTATTAAATATGCTGTATATAACATATGTAAAACATGTTCTATGAGCTCTATAGATTATAGTTAATGGTAATGAATTATGTATGTAAATGATGGCTAGGATGGCATTCAAGGCCCTCCTTCATGATACGACCCACCTGTTCATTTGTTTGTTTGTATGTTTGTTTCTCCTATAGCTTTGGATCTCTCCTCACTGTATTATGTACAGGGTCTCCTCAGACCCTGTATTATAGGTGTTTGGAACTGTTCGTTTTTCTCCCAAGCTCACATGTTGTTTCATAACTTCACACTTTACATACAGTTTCTTTTGTCCCAAATGTCCTGCCCCATCTGTCAGTCTCTTACTTATTCTTGAAGATTTAATTCTAAATGTTAGGCTGTAAAAACCTTTCCTGACCTCTCCAAGAAGATTTGACTATTTCTTTCTCTGTGGCCCCATAGCTCCTTATACTGCTTGTATAATTATGCTTATCAACCAGTGGATAATTTATTACACATTTCTGGCTTTCCCTTTTAATTATGAGTTCTTCAAGGGCAGGAATCAAGTTTTATTCATCTTTGTTTCCCAGGGATCTAGCAGCCACTGACTAGATAGATGGAAGGATGAAGGGAACATATGGATTGGGTTATTTTGGTAGATGAAGTCTTGCAAAACATGGCATTTTTGCTGGAAATTTTATTAAAAGAGGCCTTTGTTCTGCTTCTAGCCATGATGGAATAATTGGAACTAGATTTCTGCCCCTGACGTTAACATACTCAGGACAGATATGAAAACAACTGTTTTCACATATTGTACAACAAGCGGTACAGGAGTATGATCCCTGAGAGAAGGGAAGCAAGTAAGGTGAGGCCTACAGAGCTGCCCCTCCCAACTCCGCCTTTCTGCCTCCAGGCATTTTCTGGACTTTGGCCCAGGAGGGGGCTCCCCAGCCAGACACAACAGTTTTGCTGAGTTGAGGGGTTAGAGATCTGAGTTTGAGGAAGAGGTAGATTTAATTTGTGGGTCAGATTATCAAAGAGGAGGGAGCTAGTCACTCAGCAAAAGAGGTCCAGAAGTCAGAATTGGGTTCTCTTGACTAATCTGCTGAAGACTGATCTTCCCACCTGGGGTGTGAAGCTCACACAGACTAGGAACCCTTCAAGCTCTGACTAGCCAGATCAGGAAGATCTTGTTGATCACTCAGGACAATCATCAGAAACCCCCAGAGGCCAAGCCTTGCTAGTAGTCTAAATTAGCTCCAGTAAAGATTGTTTTAGCCCTGCCCTGCCAAAGCTTAAAATCAAGCCTTGAGGCTCTCTGCTCCTCCTGTTCAACAGACAGCTGTGTCTTCCTGTGCAGTGCTGGCCTCAA